TGAGATGTCCTTTCATATCTGTGAAGAAAGAGAATGAATTTTGTTTTGTCATATCCCTGACTGTGCTCTTAAGGACAGGGAGAAAATATGGTTGAAAAGCCCCTAGTCCTTGAATCTCATTTTCTTATCATTTTAATTTACACTGTTTGGGTATTCGTAGGACAACTTCTTGTCTTTGGTTAATGTTATATTTTTCTCCCTGTGGTTGTTTAAGGCAACAAGAGGCCTTTTATCATATTACATGAGGAAATGTAATATATTATTAATTGTGATTATTTTAGTCATAGTCTGACAGAAGAACTTCAGAAGAACCTGGTCCACACCAAATATATCTCTTCTGCTTTCAGGCCATGGACTTCTTTTGGAACATTTTTTTTTCACCCCAAAGAATATTTTTCTTTTACTTTAACATAACAGCACATTTTATTTAGGAAAGCTGATTGCCTGTGTTAGGGAAAATGGCATTCATTTTTAATTTATTTTTCTCAATGTCTGTTAAACTACCACTGAGTTTTGTGTCACACTAGGCCCTGCACTGAACACAGCTCTTATATTCTGTACTGAGCAAAGTCTAAAAGTAAGACTATAAGGTAATTTATAGATATATAATTTGTGTTGATCTCTCAAAATTTGATTTTAAGAATAGCTTGATATGTGGGAAGTACTTTATGAATTTCATATAAACTTTGGTTATTAAAGTTGGGATGGCCAATGATTTCAGTGTTAGCACTTTATTTGATCTTCAATACCAAGCTAGGCATTTGATGATATCTAGTTTTATAAATGTCCAGGCTTATAATATTGGGGCCATGTTTCTGTGTTTGTGTCCCCGAGATTGAGCTCTGGAGGTCATGATTGCTGACTCATCAGTGAATTAGCCTGGGAGACTCTAGGGCCACCCTACTGGAGCAGAGCAGCTCCATGGAAAGAAGTGCGTTCTTTCCGGGGCATCCAAGCACAATCTGAGGAAAGTCTACCTGGCTGTCAAAGCATGTGGTTGGGGGGCTAACTTTGAGGCATGTAAACTATGGGGTCACATACACCCTTACCCTCCAAAGGGCCTCACTCTTTGTTTAATGTTCTGTAGTCTTCATCTGGAAATTGCTAGTGATTTTGAGAAAGGATTCCACAGTTTCATTTCTCATGAGGTCCCACAAATTTTTTAGCTGGACCTGTATGAAATTCTTTTTTTGCATATAAATCTCAATTTTATTTAGAGTCAAGTCAGACTGATTAGTTTGAGTACCTCTTGATACATTGACAATACTGCTACATAGCAGAGAATGAGACATATAATAAACTAACACAAACTACTCTCACTCTGTGAGACCCCATAGATCAACAATTGGTTTTGCCTATGATAGATTTCTCTTGGCTCTCAAAGGCTGTAGTAGCTTATAATGTTATCACAAATCCTCAAAATTGAAACTTATTCTTTGGTAGGTCTTTATTTCTTTCAAGAAGAGTTACCAAAGATCATTCAAAAGTTTAATTAGCAGAGAAAAAGCACATTGCCAATGTTATTGTTCTGAAGTATTTCCAAATTACTAGTTTAATATCCCTCCATATTTAAAAAATAAAATTACAAGTCTAAACTCAGTTGATTCAATTAGAAGGTTGGTAAAGAAAAGGTGTTTTAAATGCTACTCAAACTTAAAGTATGAGGTAAAATAAAATTTAATACATCTTGAACATTGCAAGTCAACAGCCCATTCTTATAAAATCATTTATATTTATTTGTGCCTATACACAGGGATGGACTACTGTGCACTGATGATCATTCAATTTTAACAGATTTTTGAGAAGTGGTAGATTTTTCAAATTTCACATTGTTTTTCTTGTAACTGGCATGCATCACTTAAATAAGTCATCATTTTAAAAGTTAGGTCATGCATTTCTATCCAATGTGGAAGGGAGATAAATGGAATACCAGCAAAGGAAATGAAATTTCAAAAATGCAGTATAAGTAAATGAATTTCAAAATGAGAAAACAATGTTCTGAACTCATTTGGACCTCATAGCATCAAGTGGTTCTATTCTTAGTCCTGATCAGAAATTAGGATTTTGAACATATACCCTTAGTTCTGATCAAAAGCTCATAAGAGCATTTGTGGAGATTGACTGAAGGATTCCCACTCCTCTAAACATGCTAAAATCAATTTCTGGATTAAGCCAGACCAATGCCTGGACTTCATCATTTGTTGCTTTCATTCCCCAACTCCCATTGCTTTATTGAATTGCTCTTGGTGGCCAGCTCTCATATTGAAGGATTTTTGTAAAAGCCCACATGGTACTCATAGCTATTAACTGGAAAATGCTGTTGAGGCTATTGTTTATAATGTTATCCATTATCCTTACTGTGTGGATCAATGAAAGATTTTTCTCTTTGTTCTTTGTACTAAGAATGGCTGTTTTCCTGATTGATTTAATTGGTTTATTTCTTAGGGTTCCAATCGTGATTGTGTGCCCCTCTTTGTCTTGGTTGCTGGAAAGCTTGAAACATGTGCCAACCAAATGCCCAAATCTCCTAGTTGGCACTTTGTGTAGTAACTTCATTCTTGATTTAATCTTATTGTCCATTCCTCATTTTCCCTCTGGTTCCATTTCTCATCCACTGATTGTTTTTTATAGCATTCTATTTTTGTCATAACATCTACAATTTTTCTTCTGGAATTCAGTAATACCAATTTGTTCCATATTAAAAATTACTTCTTGAATATAGGGAGAGTATTTGTTATGGTTTAATCTAGAATGTCCTGCAAAAGGCTCATGTGTTCACAGGTGGAGTTTTTGGAAGCTGATTGTATCATGGAGGAGCTATATTCATTAGTGGATTAATCCACTGAAGAGTTCATAACTGACTTGCTCTTAGGAGGAGGAGCCTGTTCAGAAGAGGTGGGCCACTGGGGTGTGAACTGGAAGTGTTTTCTTTCTCCCCACCTCCTCCCTCTACTCTGTTTCCTGTCTGCCCTGCGATGAACAATTTTCCTTCATTCAGGCCCTTCCACCACGCCATTCTGCCCTGGAGCCAGCCAACCACGGACTGCAAACAGGAGCCCAAGTAAACCCCCTCCTTTAAATAGTGGGTGTCAGTTATTTTGTCGCAGTGATAAGAAAGTGACTAATATTCAAGAATATGTTCCACTTGGGAACAAGTAAGGGAGCTATTTTTTAAGAGTGGTAACTTTAGAACAAAAAAGAACAACGATGGTATTTTTACTATGTAGAGATAGAGTCATTTTAGAATGATGTTTGTACAAGAAATGATGGTGTAAATATTTGATAATAACAAAATATGGCTTGAAATAGGTAGATGCTTATTCTAAAATCATCTGTATTTGACTTTTACTTCATGGTGATTTTTAAAACACCCTTTTTTCCTCTTTGTGCCTCATTCTCACCTCTGAAGAGTGGATATTGATATAATACATACCTTATTCAAGAGAAATAATACTACTAGAGTTAAAAAACAGTTCTTTTCAATATTAAGATTTTTAGAAGCAGAAATAATTTATTATCATTGATTTTCAATAAGTTACTTTTATTTCAGTCCTGTTTCTCCTAATTTATTTATTTACATTTGATGAAGAGTAGAAGGTTACTACATCATTGATGTAGAATAAGTTTAGGAAGAAAGACGTGAAATTGTGACATGTGGCTGTATTGCTCTTGTGTTGAAACTTGCATTGTCAGGTTTTTTTCATGACATTTTTATTCCAATAACTTATTCAATATTCATTCACAAATATCATTTGAAGGGCCAGGGATTTAGCTCAGTGGTTTCGCTGCCTGCTGCACAAGTGCGAGGACCCGAGTTCGATTCCCAGTACCAAGAAAGAATATATATATATATAAATTGAAGACCTATTATGTACCAGGCATTGTTCTATGTGATGAGAATACATCATTGAATGAAAATCACCCTGCTTCCATAGTGCTCCCACTTTAGTAACTTTCTCTAAATTTCCCCATGTATTTCCTAAGTTTATATCCTTACACAAATGCTATAATTTTTTCTTATTATTAAATTAAAATCAACTTCACCTAAGGTATAACTTTTATCTGTATTTTAGGTTTTCCTCCTCTTTCTTTACTGCTCAAATATTAACTTGATTTGCTAAGAACTACACATTTAACTGATTATGGAGGTTACGTGATGTGCTTGATTTGGGCTAATTTACATAATTTTTCTGATTGAGTTACCTATTACCCTTTTGACCTTTGTACTTCTTCAAAGGCAGAGGATAATTAGCCTTCATGATTTGGTAGAACTCACATCTGCCTTCTTCTTTTACCTCAATTAACAGACACTCCTCATAAGATACAAATTTTCTTTTAGGCTACATTCAGGCAGTTTACCATATTTTTTTAAAACGCAGCTTCTTGTTCAAAGTAAGTAGAAAAAAAAATTTCAAGGAATTTGTTAATAGAAGTCAGCAATTTATTAACTTCAAGAGCTTCTTTTTTTTCCACTTGGAAGGAAGCAAAAACACAAGAGTTTGTGGTTACCACTCAAATGAAAGTGCAGCACAATGCCCACTGAGATGTGGACTTAAACTTTCTTGAAGGAAAGTCATTTAACTATGCAAGTCCTTTCTCTGACTAAATAGAGAAAGCCACCTAGAAATAGCTTTGTTCTGAGAATAATTATCCTGGAAGAGAGGAGTCATGTGACTTTTTTTGGTTGGCTGGATAAAGGCCAAGACAGCTTTGAGCTGTGATCCTATACTTTTTTGAGGCTCTCTGTTATTAGAAGTCCTCTGGTGAACTAAGACAGCTCTAGGATGCCACTTTCTCTTCTCAACCCAAGGGAAAGTCATTATGGGAAAAGAAGTCTCAACTGGCAATATAAGCTCAACAGCAGGATTTAGAGGATTGCATGAAAGGTTGACATGAACAAAGAGATTCACTCTACCTATTGCCTTGGCATTATTTTAGGAACAAAAACTGAGAGTGTTGCTGTAGCTAAAGAAGGAAGACATTGGAAGTCAAGGGCTTACCCTGGGGGAACAGAATCTCCTTCCCTTGGAAAACCATCCCAGGCTGTATAAGGAACTGAGCTGGCTGCTGGAGCCATAGAACAATGGGCAGAGGCCTTTGTGACCATGTGAATTCTCAGTTGTGATGTCATGTGGCAGCTACATAGGCAACCTCAACTGAGAAATAGAAGTTGCTAGAGGGTTGAGGAGTTTTCAGTTTTCTCAGTGGAAGTATTTGGAGTAAGAATGTTTAGTTAACTGCTAGAGTGGGTATGCTAAAGATGGATATTTTTAACTTTGAAAAATAAAATACCTGAAGTGGGATAATCCAATTGCATATATGATATTAGTCCAAGTCAAGATGTTTGCAAGTGATACAACTTCAACAGCTTTTCTAAAATAGATGAAGAGAGATGTGGAAACTATAACAAGGAACATTTCAGTTAAGTGGCCTATGCAGATCAATTGGTGAAATAAGTAGTTAAGTCTTTCCAGCAGTTAGCAGAAATGGTATCAGTTTGAATTAAACTGTTACCACTTGACTATGTCTGTGAATCTTCAAGTAGATCTTCTTACTAGTGGAGGAAGTATGTATAGTTTTTAATTCACACAATTATATAATTTCACAATTTCTTATGAGCCATGTAAAAAGGAGTGTTTGGTCCCTTTGCAAGACTACCTCAAAGGACTTCAGCCCCCGACCTTCCCCATCTTCTCTGCACATGGACATAGATTTCTTAAGAACTGGGAAGAACTCAATAATTCTTTTAGCCAAAGTAGTCTCATTATCATGCTTTAGTTGGAGCTCTTGTTTGTCTTCCCTCAAAACATCCAGTAGATGTTAGTACCTTTTGTTTTCCCTCTGTGTTAAGATAGGTTGCAAAGCCTACAGGCCCCAGCAAACTCCCCTAGTCACTCCTATTGGAGTGCTGCATAATAAAGGTTCAGCAGAATATGAGGATTTGTTTTTCTTATCAAATCAAGGTGTGAGGCATATTTCTCTTTTACAGTGCTTTAAAAACTGAATATTAAATGGCCATGAAAAATTATGGCAGGAGTAATAGATCTGATATTACCCAGTAGAAACCATGTCAAATAACAGAAGCTCAATAAATACCTGTTAAAAAAAATAAATGAATAACTGCTTATTATGCAAATTCAATCTACTTGGAAGGGACAAATATGTACTATTAATAATATTTTCATATTTGCTAAATATGAAAAGGTTGTATGAGCATGAGGTCCTAAGGAATAACTTTTTTGGAAAAATCTTAATTAGTGGTACTTGGGAAAAGCACATGATCTTCTTTAGTCCTTGCTGTAATACCTGGTTGGTTAACTTTTGCATTGGGGGCCTATCACAGAAACTAATTACAACATTGCTCAGGAAGAAGAATTTTACTTCTTCAAATTTTTAATAAACTTTTAAGATCCTCAAACTAGTAAGCAGAAAGCAGAAAACAAACTTTTACAGTCCACAAACTAATGTGTGAGATTAATTTAAATTTGCAGTGCCTCAGTAGGTCATCACGTCCTCCTCCGAATCATCTTGTACAGATGACTCATTTTATCACCTTTCTGATGAATAAGAGGGTGGGACAGAGATTTCTCAATTAGTCATAAGCATAATAAATTTATATCAAAAATAGTGATAAAGTTGAGCTAGAGATAACAGGAATACTTAGGCATTTAATGCCTTCAGAATAGGTTTCAACTCTGCCGCATTAATGTCTTCTTTGAATAAAACAGGATCAGCTCAGCTTTCTCCTTAAATCAGAAGCTGCACCGTGAATGAAAGACATCAACTCAATGATCCCAAACCACCAGTTGCTCCAGCATTAAAATCAGCTGGGAGCATACAGAAGGTGAGGTGTTCCCAGTGCACAAGAGGAGGCTTCTGGGCCACCATACCACCCCCACCAGCACACAAGAGGTGAGCCACTCCCAGCGCACTAGAGGAGGCTTCTGGGCTGCCATACCACCTGCCAGCACAGAGGAGGTGAGCCATGCACACCACCCCACCCCCAGTGAAATGAGAAGACACGTAAACAAGTCTCAAAACCAGCCTTCCAGATCACCTACAGCAACCCCAAAGAGAAATGAGATGGAAAGCTCTGATACTCAACCACCTGGACTCCCTGAAATGGTAAAAAAAGAGGATCTGGAAAAAATGAAATCAGAAATATTTTCTCAGATAACAGCAGAGATTGTACTCATAGTGCAAGACATGATTAATAAATCTAGAGAGGAGCTCAGGAACATGATGGAATCCCAACATAGGAAACAAATGGAATTCATAAGACAGATGCAAACAGATTTCCAGGAGATTGAAAACGCCACTGAAAGTACAAAGCAGAATGAGCCAATGTGAGGAAAGAATTTCAGATATAGAAGCTAAGATTGCAATCAGTGACCAGGAAAAGAAAAATTGCTTTAAAATTGTAAGGGACCATGAGAAATCAATCCAGCAGCTGCTAGATGATGCAAAGAAGAATAACATAAGACTGATCAGAGTCAATGAAGAAACAGGAGAGAGTGCAGATGACATAAAAAAAACTGTTCACAGAAGTGATGGCAGAAAACTTCCCAAGGAGGGGAAAAGAACTTGATATACAGATAAGTGAGGCATATAGGACTCCAACTAGCCTTGATCAAAAAAAAAATCTAGCATAGGCATATAATTGTTAAGATTTCAGAAACTCAACAGAGGAACAAAGTTCTATAAGCAGTTAGAGAAAAGAAACAAATCACATACAAAGGAAACCCTCAAGGCAAGAAGAGCTTGCAGTGATGTATTCAAGCCCTAAAAGAAAACAGCCTCCAACCCAGATTGATGTACCCTGCAAAACTATCTTTCAAAATGGATGGAGAAATAAGATACTTTCATGACAAAAAGCACCTGAGGAACTTCATGAATACCAAACCAGCACTCCAAAAATTTTTGGACAATATCCTAGGAAAAGACAATGAGGATGACAACCCCAGGAAACCCAGCAGAATGAATCCATCAGGTGTGACAAGAAATTAAACGCAAAGGGGGAGAATCCAACAAACAGAAGTCATGACAATGATAAGTCAATATGTATGAGTTATAACCATCAATGTTAATGGTCTCAATTCATCAATCAAAAGAAATAGACTGGCAGAATGGGTCAAGAAGCAAAATCCAACAATATGCTGCATATAAGAAACACACTTCATTCAAAAGGAAGCTCATAGACTGAAAGTTAAAGGGTGGAAAACAATACTCCATGTGACAGGAACCCAAAAAAAAGCAGGAGTAGCAATCCTCTTTGGAGATCAAGTGGATTTCAAACCAAAATCTGAAACACTCTGGTCCCAAGAATTTCAGATAAGGGATACTCAACTTGTATGTACAAATCTACTGTGAACATCTGTTTTCATTCCTCTCAAGTAAAAACTTAAGAATAGGACTGTTGGTTCTTAACAGTAATACAAGAAATTTCTATATTGTTTTCCAAAATAGTTTTATCATTTTACATTCACATTAGCAGTGTTAGAAAGTTCTAACTGGTTCATACCTAAGCTGTCATTTGTTCTTTTAAAACTTTTAACTTCATCTCCCTAATGAGTGTATAATTCAATCTTATTGTTGTACTGATTAGTATTTTTCTGATTCTAGTGTTGCACACCTTTCCTTGTGCTGTACTGGCTATTTATCATCTTCCTGTGTCTACTTTTTAATTGGGTTGTCTATTAATGAGCTGTAAGAGTTCTTTATATATTCTGGTCATAGGTTATATGCTTTATAAATAAGGTCTGTTTAAGGACTACTTTTCATTTTAACAATGTCATTTAAAGTTCTAAATTTTGATGGAATCTCATTATCAATTTTTTCTTTTAGACATCATGTTTTTTATAGCCTAGGAAATTCTTGCCTACCCTAAATTCATAAACATTTTCTCTTATAATTTCTTCTTGAAGTGTTATAGTTTTAGTCTTTCATATTTAGGTTCATAGATCCTTTCAAGTTACTTTTATGTATGGAAATAAAGGATTGAGGTTAATTTTTTATATACAGATAAAAGCAGCTGGGAGCCTCCCCAAAATATTGATTTTTTTTACCCCCTCCTCCCTCTGAAATTATGATTTAGTAGATCTTAGTGAGGTTCATTATATGTGTGCATTAATGATTTTTAAATTTCTGGTGATAGGTGGATTAGATTATCAGAAAACTTTTCCTGAGACACGTCTAAAAATCTCCAGTAAAATACATATATGCATATATAGGCAGACACACACAGATAGATATATAAGTATATAGGAAATGTATAGCTGAGTTGGGGATAAACTAATGGAATGTGTTGGGCTGAAGTGTGATAAAGAAGTTTGATTCCAGAGAATTATCAAAACTGACATAGATCTGGAGTATCTGCCAATGGCAAGTGGCACAAATCTTGTGTATTAATGGCCATGAGTGCACTGAAGGGGGGAAGGAAGTCTGGGTCTACAGCACATTAGGTGGTGAGACCCAAGTTTGCATATAAACCTCCAAAAGGCGCTGTGCTCAGTGTGTGTGTGTGCCAGGAAATTTTCTGTCCTGGAGATAATGCCATTATATACCTATTTTAACTTTGGCTCTAGGTAGAGCAAAGAAATAAAATTTCCTTCTCTGATAATGCAGCAGCACAAGCTCTCTCTTACACAAGATGGGGGCTTCAATTCATACACCCCAAGCTGTGCATTTCCTATGAGGTAGCCCTGGTTGGGATGACCTCTAGATGGCCAAGTTCACTTTAGACAGGGATCAAAAATCCCCACAGATGATATTCCAAGTAATATGAACTTGGAATTTCAAAAACCCTATATGCATTATAAAATAAACCACTTGGTGTGAGAAATGTCAATAGCAAAGAACTATAGAAGCATATTTGCATATACTACAAGTATGAAATGATCAGATACCAAATATATGTGATAGTAGCAAAGTCAAAGGAACTTATTTTAATATCAAGTGGAACATAAAGATACTCACTATAATATCTCTATATTCTCATCTAGGGGAGGGAAAATCAGTCAAGTATGGTATATATTTGTACTTTTCTGACTAATAAATAATTTAAAGAGTGCAAA